TATCTCTCTCTATCTCTCTCTATCTCTCTTATATCTCTCTCTATCTCTCTCTATCTCTCTTATATCTCTCTCTATCTCTCTCTATCTCTCTCTATCTCTCTCTATCTCTCTCTATCTCTCTATCTCTCTATCTCTCTATCTCTCTATCTCTCTCTCTCTCCCTCCCTCCCTCCCTCCCTCCCTCCCTCCCTCCCCCTCTCTCCCCCTCTCTCTCTCTCTATCTGTTTCCCCGGTACATATATAATACTGTAATTGTAACGAATAAATCTTAACCTGATTCATTGAAGACGCAGTGTTAGTTCATCTAATGGTTTTATCTGTAAAACCTGTATGATAGATGAAAAAGCAGAGGAAATACTGAACCAGGTTATGCCAGAAATAACATCTGAAACAACATTTGATGCAGTTAAGCGAAAATTTGATACGTATTTCTCTCCTAAGAGAAATATAGTGTTTGAGAGATGTAAATTTAATTTGCGTATACAACAAGTAGACGAACCAGTAGATTCATTTATCCCTGCCTTGTATACTCTCGCTGAGACATGCGATTACGGTACACTGAAAGAAGAATTGATACGAGATCGCATCATGATAGGAATACGCGATGTTTGTATTGCAGAACGCCTATAGTTAACCTCAAGTTTGATGATAGAGAAGACAATAGAAATAATTCGGCAGGCAGAAATACAAGCAAAGGAGAATAGAACACAACGACAGGAAGCTTGAATGGTGGCCTCTTCTTCCTCCATACAAAGTACCCTTTTCGAGTGGCATTTCCTATCCCAGTGTCCTATTTTGTTGCAATTTCTGCATCTCGTCTTCAATGCTGGACATTTCTTGAGATCTGCGTGGCTTGGTAAATCGCATCTAGTGCATGTTTGTTCTCCTTCACGTGACATCGCTTTACTACTGCTCATGGTCTGGGCTGGAGGTACCTTTTTTATGGTTTTATTTATACCCTGTATAAGCTTGAAGCTTCCTGTCGTTGTGTGCAGATCTCAAGAAATGTCCAGCATTGAAGACGAGATGCAGAAATTACAACAAAATAGGACACTGGGATAGGAAATGCCGCTTGAAGAGGGTACTTTGCATGGAGGAAGAAGAGGCCACCATCCAAGCTTCCTGTCGTTGTGTTCTATTCTCCTTCGCTTGTATTTCTGCCTATATTTCTCTTAGGAGAGAAATACGTATCGAATTTTTGCTTAACTGCATCAAATGTTGTTTCAGATGTCATTTCTGGCATAACCTGGTTCAGTATCTCCTCTGCTTTTTTATCTATAGTATAGCACAAGAAATCTATTTTCTCCTTGTCCGGCTTGTCATATTTGTAACCGAAATATAACGCATGAAATGTTTAATCCAGATCTCCCATAATTCGGGTCTTTGGAAATCGAATTCCGCTGGTATGTGTATACTAAATACTTGCTTTTCTTCTTCCGGCGCCATTACCTCTCGGCCTCTTTGTGCGAGAGAAGAAAGAAAAAAATGACTGGATCGTATATCTCGTTTGGCAATCTTATATGGATCTGCCTCATATGAGAATATTTTGTTCTCTTCCTTCCGATCCCACTTCTGACACCATGTAATGATATTCAATGGAAAAATAACGATTTTTAATAAACTTTTATAAATTTCGACTTTTGTAGAATGTTTTATTGTTCGTTCCTGCCTCTTAGCTCGCTTCGACTCACTCATATATCTCACGCCGCTGCATTCAGCATCGCATACTTATGCCCGTCTAAAGACGCGTTCATATATCTTTCCCTAACTTAGGAACGCTCTTTTATACAACAGTTTGTTTTATGATTATAAATTTGAAGATTTATTTAATCTTTCTTGCATACACCAAATGTTAAAGGCTAGTGACAAATCGTGCGCCATGGTATTTTCGTTAGAACAGCATGGTGAGTATGTATTGTTTTTAATAGCTACAAGTACATTCTTGATTCGTTGATTTGCTGAAACATAAAAGTTTTCCTCATTAGCGTTTAAGAACTTCCTTACTTTCCTGTAGAAAATATTTTTAAATACACTACTCAAGAGAAATATAGTATCAAAAAATTATAAGCAAAAATAGGTGAAATTTGAATAAGTATTACTCACACAGCACAAAACATCTCAGCAATGTCTCCAGAATATTACATTTGCAATGTTAAATATTTGAAGATAATATCAGAAATATTCTAGAAATGTCTCTGCAATGTCTTATGTCACCAACTTGTAATATTGTTGAGATATTCTGGAGACATTGCATTCTAAAATATTACTGGATAATTCTCGAAATATTGAAACCTTGTACAAAAAAATAATTTTTATGATATATTTTCAACTCACATGTCAATTTATGTTGATTTTAAATTAAAGAAAAAATGCATGGACGTTCGAGCGAAACAATCGTCGGGACACTGCGTATTGCTCACGTATAGACGAGACAGTGTGAGTCAAGTGTTTTTTTAGTGTGCGTCACACCTATTTTAGGACGGCATTCTGTCCACGACGTCTTATAATGCTATTTTTCTCGCTCTTACATCTGCGATAGAGGATGGAAGATCGCTGCGACTCCCACCACTATTCTCTCTCCAAGACGTTTTTATACCGCTAGCCTTCTCCGCCACTCCATACTGCTCATACCTACAAGCAGCAGTGCAACGTGAGTGACGCGTCATTGCGCGAGTCACACGGATATACGGACGGCATTACGCCGGTGCGTGTATATACAATGGAGCTTTGTACAATGTAATATTTCAAATAAAATATTTCTAGAATATTCAATTTAAGATATTCTGATATATTTTCCGCGACAGATTTCCAGAATATTTCAGAAACTTTGCAAATGATAACGTTTCAAATGGAGTATTTATAGAATATTTTATTTCAGATATTCTGAAATATTTCCAACGACAGATCTTCAGAATATTTCAGAAACATCGCAAATGTAATGTTTCAAATGGAATATTCTTAAAATATCTCATAAGAAATATTCTATTTCAAATATCTCTGTACAATATCCCAAGAATATCTCAAATATAATATTTTAAAAATGATATTTGTAATATTCTGGAAACATTGCTGAGATGTTTTATGCTCTGTGGGTACTCCGTGGAAAATCATTATACGAACATTTTTGTTTTAGTTTCAAGAATAAAATCTACTGTAAACTTGGATTTTTATTTTATAACATTCTCGCCTCACTATCCTCCCAAAAATATGAACATTTTATAATAAAAATTGCGTATTTTAATGGAATCCAAAAAAATTAAAAAAAAATTTTTGTGAATTTTATTTACGGAAACATGAGAAGAAAGAAGATTGGTTTTCCCATTCAATTAAAAAAAAATAATATATACCATTTTTTTCACATAGTTGTATACACATAGTTATAGTCACATAGTTATATACACACCACATATATGTGAATAGTGTATATAGTATAACTATGTAGCTAATATAGTTATGTGTATAACTATATAGTATAACTATGTAACTATAGTATAATGTGTATATAGTATAACTATGTGAAAAAAATTGTATATATTACTTTGTTTTTAATTGAATAGGAAAACTAATCTTCTTTCTTCTCATGTTTCCATAAATAAAATTCACAAAAAATTTTTTTCTATTTCTTTGGATTCCGCTAAAATACGCAATTTTTATTATAAAATGTTCATACTTTTGGGAGGACAGTGAGACGAGAATGTTATAAAATAAAAATCCAATAGTATAATTATATTTATACTATATACACACGCACATATATATTCTAAAGTTATCCGTGCATTTTTATCACATACTACCGGCATTAGTATTACCCGATGTGCATTACGGTCGGATTTTCTTGTTAGAATGAAACAAGTACATAACATCCTACTTAAAATGTGTGAATGTATGAAGCTGGCACCTCATCTTTTAGCATCTCAAGTTTTGACACAAGTTTTATTTGCACCCACAATACTTTTACAGTTCCTGATAGGTTATACCAATAGTTCCGTCACAAAAAATAACACTTTTAACAAATGAGGTGCCAAATTCCCGTAGCACCGCAAAATTAAAAATGTATATTTTGATAATTTTATTTTATAATTCTCAAAGAGTTCTACAGTTCCTGATATATTTCAGCGAAAGTTCCGGCCTCTAATATTTTTAAATAATTTTTATACTTGAGCGCTGGCACCGCACCTGAAGTATAAAGTACGAGATGCTGACAGTTCCCATCGACTTTTATACATATTTTTGTACATTTTATTCTACAATAGTTCCAACACTTCTGGTAGCTTTCAGATTAAATCCCTCATTTTAGATATCGGAAGTCATCTAATTGATAATGAAAATCCTGCATTTGTGGTTTGTGTATTTGCAGATAGCAATTTCCTTCCATAATATCGATAGATAATATTTGTAACTATATAGAGGATTATCTGGAGAAATACAACTTTAACTTCAAAATGGAAGATGTTCCCGGAGTTCCCGGACAATTCTAATAGCACCATTGCATTTAGCTAGTCAAAATTAGTAAAGAATGATAACGTTTTCACGTTAGTCTCGATAGGCAAAAAACTGTCTTTTTTCGACATTGTTCTTTTCCACAAATTTTAAATTTTCTTATTAAAAAAAGAGAATATATATATATATATATATATATATATATATATATATATATATATATATATATATATAACAACTAAAAATGTATATTTTTTTCTATTTTTATAAGAAAACTACAAATTTGTGGGAGAATTAAGATGCAACTATAAATTTCCATGAAAAACTTTACAATATATAAATTATAAAATTCTTTTATGGCGAGCTATACTATATAGCGAAGAAAATGTGAAAAAACAATAGGAGCAAAACTTTTTATTATTAAATTTGCCTTTACTGTTATCGTATAGTTTGTTAGTAGGTCACCGTAGAAAATTATATAATAAAAAAATCATTGTGAAGTTGCAGTAGAAATTCGTTGTTTTTCTTTCTATGGAATTCTGCGAAAAATAAGATTTTCTACAAAAATTGAAATTTTCCAAGAATAACTAAACATGTCTACGCCAAAAATTAAAAATATCTGAGACAAATTACGATTTTCAACGGCATACTAAAAATGTCTACGAAAAATACAACAATTTACGAGAAGCTAATGGTTTCTACGACAAACTATAATTTTTAACGACAAGCTACAATTTTTTATAAATTTATATGAAAATATCTAAGAAATCCTAAGATCTTGCTCCATTCTCAGTAGTTTCTCTGTACTTTTTGGTAGCAATTCTTAGGGTGACGTCCCAATAACACGAGATTTTCGTGTAATGCATAACCGCGTAACCGGTCAGAAGCATTAGGGTAAACTCGGATAAGATGGCCATACTTTTTTAAAGTACAAACAAAATACATTTCTTATTGTTATTTTTTAATAACGTTTGGCACATTACTTCACTGAAGCCTACAGTACATAATACTATCAGAGTTAAAAGGAAAATATTTCAGTGTAATTATTTATTACAAAAATATCAAAACATGAGCATTGTCCATCTTATCTAAATTTTTAAGATAAGATGGCCATAAGGAATAAATAACATACATATTTTATGTTGAAAATTTTGTACCTATTATTTTATAAATATTGAAAAAAATATAATTTGATATATTCATTTTAGTATAGGATATTTAACACATATTATTTGTGAAAAATATAATACACATATAAAATAGAAACCTCTACTACAAAACTTAAATTCTAAATCCAATTTTTGATTAAAACATATTACACATAAGATTTAATTACTGTAATATTGAAAGTAATTTTTTGAAATATAACGACTTTTGTTTTATAAATGTTAGAATGATAGTGGGCCATCTTAAAAATGTGTAAATTTCCACAATGTGGGTTTTCCAAAAGATGGTTATAATAGTACTTATAAACAAATAGTGAAAACGAAAATAAAAATGCGTTATATTACAATTTACATACCTACTTTATATATCTAACGTTGATTGCGATAGCTTAACTATAATTTATTCGACGTTACAGCAAGTTTTAGTGGACACATAGGAAATTTTATAAGTAGGCGAAAATAAAAATATAGTATAATATTCATAATCTTGCAAAATTTCAAAAAATTTTAATTTAAAAAAATTTAATTTAAAAAAATGTACGCACATACACTATGATAAATGTCAATTATCTTTGTGACTGATTAAAAACGCAATGTTTTGCAATTATTAGAGAAATTACAGCTTATGGCCATAATACCCGAGTTTACCTTACGGGTTTTCTGATACGCGGGATTGAATTTCTTGGATGTTACGTATAGCAATCGGATTTCCAATCGGATTAATCGCAATGATATAAGGCTGCGTTGGGAAACGTCACCCAACGTACCCGTTGCGTTGAAGTGAGCGAGATACAAGAGTGAGATAAAAAGAGAGTATTCGAGTGACGTTTTCGAACGTAGCCTAAATTTGGTAATAATGGGGTTTAGTGGAGTTTAGAGTCCCCTAAACCCACTTCCGATGACATTGACCTTAATATACATGGTCTGTCCGGAAAGTAATGAGACTGATTTTCTTGGACCAATCAGAAGGGGTCGGGAAACAGATCCCCGGGCACGATGGTTGGAGAGGAATGTCAGGTAAACGGTCCGACCCAACTCGGTTGCCTCTAAACCTTTACAGAATACAAATCGCTTGCAAAGTGGACAGCTGTTTAAGCGTCGCATCACAGGTCAAAATGCAGCGCCGTATCGATCAGCAATACGTGATAAAGTTTTGCGTTAAACTCGAAAAATCTGCGACTGAGACGCTTGCTATGATAGAGAAAACATACGGGAAGGATGCTTTATCAAAAGCACAAGTGTTTAGGTGGCACAAAGCGTTCAGAGAAGGAAGAAAGGACATCAAGGATGAGCAACTTCGGACTATGTAACTAAAGTGAAAGCGGTTTTGGACATAAGAGACATTTTAATAT